CCCCAAAACCCCAAAACCCCAAAACCCCAAAACCCCAAAACCCCAAAACCCCAGTAAGTCTTAGAATATTGAATACAATAAAGCGGCATTGACATTATACTATTTTTAGTTCAGCTCCTAATGCTGTTAATTTCTCAACAAGCTCATCTGCCTCTTCTTTCTTCAAACCCTTCTTCAGCCAGAGTGGAGCACCTTCGACAGTCTCTTTGGCCTCCTTCAGTCCGAGAGAGAAAATACCTCTGATTTCCTTGATTAGCTTAATTTTACTCTTTGCGTCAAATCCACTTAACTCAACATCGAATGTGTCTTTTTCTTTTGTCTCTGATCCTGTGTCCGCAGCTTCTTCCTCCTCGGCTGGTTCCGCTCCACCGCCTGCTCCGCCCATTATTGACCCCATATGCTCCATAATGTCTTGTTGTTTAAACCAGTCAGGATTGAGAGGTGGCCAGGTTCCGTCAGAGTCCATCTTAACAGAAGGCCAGTCCATATTCAACTTGAGGGGATTAATTCCAGCGACTCTGGCAACCCTCTTCTGGATTAAAGCTGCTAAATATCTTTGCTCGAAAGCTGTGAGGACTACAAATTTGTCTGCAACGAATTCGACTCTCTTCATCTGGTAGTCCGAGAGCTCCTCCTTGAGGTGTTCCATCTGCCTTTTGTTGGTCTCTTCTGCGATTTCCTCCCACTCTTTCTCTTGTTGTATACAGGAATCATCGAATTTGAGGCCCCAGGTTGTTCTATATCTCTCCTTCTGCTCCTCGGTCAGCTCTGGTCTGGCCTCTTCGGAAGCCTCCTCACCGCTGAACATCCTGACTGGCTTTCAAGTGAAATGTGGTCTCTTGGCTAAATGAAGAGAGGATGCACCTATGACAAATTAGCGATCATAATTATCATATACTGAGAAATTTAGGAAAATTTAAGACCAAAATGTTTATAGTCTTATTAAGGAATTAAAGGTACCAGAAACTAAATGTCTGCCTAGTCTTAAAGACATAGCTGCATGATATTAATATCCACTCTTGAATTATAGACTTAGTTCTTATCTTAAATCTTAGTTTGATGTTTTAACTGAGATAATAATAAAATTTAAAAATTACAAATGTTAAATTATACCTGAACGACTAAGTGGTGTGAATATTTCTATAAAAGTAACTTATCTACGAACATATAGAGGATATGACCTACAGAAGTATCCAACTTACCAGCTAATCTTCTTGAGAACATGTTTGTTATAAATTAATTTACAACACAAATATATAAAATGGGGTTTTGGGGTTTTGGGGTTTTGGGGTTTTGGGGTTTTGGGG